CATCCACTGTAATCTACCTTGCAATCAGCAGTACAGCCATAAAGTCGACGGTACCCTCGTAGTGGTACAGCTCAAGATAGTGATTCCTCCGGAGAGTAATGAAAATGGTTTCCCTTCAATATCTCTACAAAAAGAATTTTGTCAGAAATTACTTTTTGGCCGAGCGCCGTAGGTTATGTATGAATTTTCTCATGTGCGCAGAACTTGCTGGAAATGGTCGGCCAATCGTAAATAAATTCAGTCAATCAGTGGGCTCCATTTATTATTAAACAATCACATCTCTTCTATCTTTTGAAATTTGTCCAATAATCTGTCCGAAAAAAAGCTTGTTTTAGTATGACGGACAGACAGGTTGCTGTAATAGTAGTTCAAGGCTAGCCAAGCGCCGCCGGTTCGCGGCGGCGGTTGTGTGGTTTATTGGAGAAGAGATGGTCGCATCCCCATGTAGTTCTTGTTGCCATGTGCTTTAAGTCCTACCCCTGTACTTTTGATGTTGTGGGTACGGTCGTGGCCCCCGAATACGACGGTGTGTTGTGTACTCGAACTACTCTACACTCCGTAATCTCACGCGGTTCGGTGGCATTTCGTCGATGCACATTTCAGTTATTCCGTACTACACCTTCGTGTCCATGCGCTTGAGTTGTTCATGCACTCCTGTGTTCATTCCTCGTCCCGCGAACAGCGGATCCGTGGTTGCCCATCCTTTTCGTGGTGCCGTGATGTTCAGTGGTTATGTGCTCTCCCTTGGTTTCACGCTCTTCCGTAGTACGATTTCCCTTGGTTGTTGCTTATGATTTAGTGTTTGTATTCCTTTCCATGGCTTCCATACTATTCGTGGTACATGGTCTTCAGTGGATCATGATCTGCCGAGGCCCGTGCCCTCTGTCGTACGTGTCCTTGTCGCTGCATACTCATTCCTGGACCGTGTTTTTTTAAATGAAATTTCGTGGCTGTCATTGATTCAGTCCTCTTCCGTGGACATGTTCCTCCGATGGCCTTTACACTCGTTGGCTTCCGTGGTTCCACGCGCTTTGTTGGTGTGGTTTCGTTGTCCATTCTCTGTGGTATCGTGCTCCAACATTGTGTATTCGTTTGTGCGTTGCAGTCTCTCCTCGTCCCATTCCCTTTTGTCGTCGGTGTACTCATCCCTCTAGCCTTTTCCGTGCTTCCGTGGAATGATACTCTTTCTTGCTCGATGCTCTCTCGTGTTCTACCATCCACAACTGTCAAACTAACCTCTTCGCCACGTTCTGACCGCACTGACCGTACTAACCGCCTTTGTATCGGCACATTTAACGTCCAGTCATTGGGCTCCATGCTTAAGCAGTTCGAGACACTACCACAAGACATGCAGCGCAACAAGACTGACGTTCTAGGCCTCCAAGAGACCAAGCTTTATACGCTAGGACGCTACGAGATTGGAGACTACACCCTCCTAACCCTGACAGCCGCTTCCAAGATGTACGGAGTAGGCTTCGCCGTCTCCCCCCGAGGGGCCCCGTATCTAGAAAAGTTCTGGGCACACAGCGACCGCCTCGACGTCTTACAGATACATCTTCCCCAAACAGGACGCGTAAATGTCGTCACAGCCTACGCGCCACACAGCGGACGAACACTAACCGAAGTTGACACTGTCTATGCAGATCTCAGCACAATTCAACAGGCGGCACATCACATTTACCACCAGTGACTTCAACGCCAAGCTCGGGAACCGCGTTACGGGGGAAACCTTTCTCGGGGTTCACGCTCGAGGACGCCGTAACAGGAACGGCCGCGCCCTGGCGGCTTTCTGGGACGCCTTTCAGTTTTTTGCAGCGAACACGGCCTTCAAAAAACGAGCAAGGAACAAAACGACCTGGACACAACGTCGTAAGGAGCACATCGTCTACAATCAAATTGACTACGTTCTCTGCCCCCAGAATTGCCGCCGATTCTGCCAAGATGCTCAATCCTGGGGCGGAACGCTAACCGCCTCCGACCACAAGCTCGTAACGGCAGATTTTTTTCCTTCGCAACCCGGGCCGCCTCCGATACCGAGCACGCCCAACACGACAAGGCCACCTACAGCTCGACCGCAACCAACTCATTCACGACGATGACACACGGTCAGCCTACTCTGCAGTTCTCAAACGACATCTTCCGGCTACCGATGACGACGATGACACGGCTATCTCGGATCAATGGAATGGCACGCTTCAACGAGTACAGGTCGCAGCAACTGAGACCATAGGCTACACAACTTCAGACCCCCGTCGCGCACGCAGATACAACGATGCTGTGCTCGCGGAGCTGTCGGAACAGCAGCGCACGCTGTGGCTCCAAATTTGCAACGACCGGTC